ACAATGTAAGAGTCGAGTTTTTGATGAGCTTCATGCTAAATTTGCTAAAATGTTCTCTAACGTTCGCAAAGCTATTTCTAAATGTCCACCTCCTTTAGAAGATCTTAAGACTTTCATTGAAGATTTCAACTCTGACCTTGAAGCAGAACTGAGTTTGATTAGTAATCTTCAAAGTGCTATGCGCCTAATTAGGAAAAATTGCAGTCTCATTAATATTGTGATCCTTGAAGCTGTTGTTGAGCACTTTGAGATTGATGATGCTCAGAAATACATTGATGATTACAAGAGGGAAATTGATGAGTCGTGTCGTAATTTATCAGTTGATCTGTGCTTGAATGAGCCGTTTGATGTAGTTAGGGCCAGTCCTCCTCTTAAATGTGAAACAGCTACTTATGTACTTGGATGGGAAGCTACTGAGCATAAGTTAAAGGACGTTACAGATATTATATCAAAATCTTCTGGTAAATTTATAAAGCTGATTAACATCAAAAGCATTGAATCTATCACCATCACTTGCTCCTTCCCTCACTCTCTCACTGGAGCTCTCATTATAAAATTGAGTGAGAATCTTGAATTATTAATAAAGAATGGTCTAATAAAGCTTACTGTTGGATACTGCACAATATGGAAGAAACAAAAGATACAAGTATATGCGTATATAAACTGTCAGTAATTATCATTATATACTGTATTATAAAGGAAATACAGGAACTACTGGAAGAAGAGGTACAGGAGATAATGGAACAACCTCATGATACAAAGGTATAATAATTTGTGTTTGATTATTTTATTATTGCAATCAATAGAGACAAAAAGAACTTAAAGAAACTGCACAGCAACTAACAAAAATACTTAGTGAAAAAGAAAAGGTACTTGTGTGTTGGTATTACATGTATAGGAGGAATTAATACTTCAATGTATAAGAGCTTATTGTTGGAGTGTGTTGTTATAATTCGTGTAGCTCATTGATGGATTATTAATCACTGCATGTTTCATTATAAAAATGTGTACATGTAGGAACTGAATAAAATCAAGGAAAAAATACAAGATATGTTATCACAGAAGAAAACTAAGGTAATTATAATCAACAATTGTGTAGTAAATTGTAATTAGAATCAGTTATTGGTATATAGTGTAATACTTATTTACTGATAGGAGGATCAAAATGAAAGGGAATGTACACTAGTGGAATTAAAGGAAGTAAAAGAAACAACCAATGATTTGGAAGAGAAACTACAAAGTAATTATACACAATATGACATATAATAGTACCTAACATTGGTGGAGTACCATGTACAATGTCAATAAAATCCAAAACATGATAGCTATTGAAACAACTCGTAATGAGTGATTCGCTTTTCACATGATGATGTAAAATGTTGATTGTATTAATTATTTTAGGAATGAAAAAAGAATATCACATTAAATGTCATACAGATTCTACTTCAGGTGAGAAAATCATTATTTTAATAGCTATATGTTATTGTTATTATTATTGCAGCATCTTACAAAATCATAAAGGGAATGAGAATGGAAATAGAACAAATATTAACAAATAAAACTGGTACTGAATTATAATGCATGTTTTAGTGTATTGCAATTATACTATGATAGGTTTACTGGATCAGAATGAATCATTAATAGATATTAAGGGAGAAATAGCTGAACTTCAAGAACAGATATCAGTAATGAGTGTACATATACTAAATAAAAGAGAAGAGAATGAAGAATTGATGTATAAAATAAAAGGTACAATTTATTAATAATTTATTAGTAATGTACAGTGTCACTAATAGATTACAAAAGAGATGCATTGAAACTGGACTGGGAAATATCCAGTGAACAGACACTAGATAAAAGAGAAGAGGGGCAACCAGGCTTTTCATCAAGAAATAAAGGAACCAGTTGGATAGACTAATAATAAATGTGGAATCACATCAAACTGAGGGGTCTGTAATAAGGCAACAAAGTGTACAAGACTCCGAGAATTCCAAGTTGACTTCCCAAGGACTCCAGTAGGTATACTCCAGATACTACTAAATTTACTGTATGAAACTCAGGATACAACAAGGACTTCAAAATGACTCCACAAAGACTTCAAAAGGAAGTGTACGAGACTCCAAGATCATTTCGTACCCCTCGCGTCAAACTAGTGAGTACCCATCAAATGCCTCATGTAATTAATTGAGTGAAGTTAAATTACTGTTCAAGTACATGTACATTTGTAGTTTTGTGTATGCCTGTACACACATCAGGGCATATGGTAAAGCCAGGTGACATTCAATGAAATGGTCAAGGGTGTATACGCAATTTGACCTTTTGATGCAAGAATGCTTTTAAGTTGACCTAAAATTGGCCAAATTTTTTTGTGTTCATTTGCATTGTGTTTTGTGACAAGTGTAAACAAAGCTTTAGGGTAGAGCCTCCTAATGTTATATTGAAATACCATTCAATAATAACAGGGAGCATAGTTAATGCATAGCATCTACTGTATTATGCATAAATGGGGGTGACGTACTCCTATTTATGCATACCCCTATTTTTTATCCCTATTTATTATTTTATTTATTTTTTGTTGAAGAATCAAATGTTAGACCCAAAGGTATTTCAATATTTAATACTGGCCATAATTGATGTTTTATTTTTGTTATAGAATTTGTGTTTCAAATTTCCGAAAAGCATAATTATCAATTTGATGAAATGAGAGGGAATTTTGGAACTTTTTATTTCAAAGTCACTCGACTGGTATCTCACACCATCAAAATGAGCCAACTTGAAGATTTCATAGAATTTCTTGATGATTGCTATCCTGAGCTAGGTCCTAATCTAACCTCTGCTGCTACAGTGAAAGATGTCATGAAAGTTATCAAAACCAAATGCAATGTCATCAATATTACACCAGTAGAGGTAGCAGTTAGCTTCAACAGCAAAATAGAAACTGAGGCTAAGTCATTAATATCTGATTATAATGCAGCTGTCAATAAGTTCTGTCACACTTTTAGACTTCAATTCTTGCTCGATAAAAAGCTTTCAGAAAGTGATTTTCTTATTTGTGAAACAATTGAGTTTGTTCTAGACTGGGATCCTGCTGAGCACTTATTGAATGATATTTGTCGTTTAATGGAGAAAGCATTCCAAGGATTGAGCAGAAGGATCATAGTCAAAAGCATGCATAAAGGCAACTCCAAAGAAGTAGGGAACTAAAGAAGTAGGGGAATTAGTATCACAAGGTGATCATGTATTTATACCAAGAGATTGTCCCAAACCATTTGATCAACTTATGATAAACTGCTGGAAACATAATGATAATGAGAGGCCAAGCTTTAAGGATGTCTTGATATACTTATCACATACGATACTCATGATATTTAATAAGATAAGCCTGCAAGTCATTCTTATTTTATCCATGTGGAACAATCACTGCTTATACATAATATCCTTGTTTTGTAAGTTTAACAATAATAATTTCAACATGACCCTGACATGACACATAACAGGTCAACTTGTAGCATGCAAAGTGCTAAAGATAGGCGACAGGCATAAATGTACATGTGCATAGTAATGTTATTGGTACATGTACATGTACATGTATTCTAATCTCTCTCCCTCTCTCCCTATAACATACGTGACTCAATGAGATGGTTTTATTATTGACTCCATTGAGGTTTCCCTTCTTAGGACCAAACAATCTCCTCCAATGATAATGATAAGTAACAACTGGTGATGAATCAGGCCATATACTGGAGAATATCTTAATATGATCAGTTGGTAGTGTAATAACTGGATGTTTATTAGCAACTGCTATTGTAAGGACTGTAGAGAGAGAGGAGGAGTGATGGAGGGGAGAGAAAATATCAAGGGAAAAAATAGGAGAAAGTGGGCACATATGGTGAAAAGGAAAAGAGAAATGGAGGGAGAAAGAGAAGGTAGATTAATTATCAGTAGGAAGGTATTCTTTACAAAGTTATTGAATAAACAAAAAATGCATGTGTACATTTTTATGGAAAAAAGACAGAAAGTGCATACATGATTTGAAATAACTGAACTGATGAATAATGGTACATACACTTTGCTTTTGAAGAAATTGGCAAAAACACTGTCAAAATGCTCTCTTTTTCCTTGATCATAGTCAGGTGTAATTTACCGTAGGGTGCCTTTTTCGAGGGCTATAGGTTTCATGGATTTTTATTTTGCAAATTCAATTTTCGTGAATTTATGCTGTCTGCCATTTTGTACTATATTAACTTGATTTTCGTGGAAGTAATTTTCACAAACTTTAAAGAAAATCGTGAAATCCGAGTAATTCACAGTCCTAAAAAAAGGCACTCTACAGTATCAAAACTGGCTTTAAAAATTGTGACATTTTCTGATATATATCAATGGCATCAGCATAATGTATTAAATGATGGCTCATCTCTTATCAAATATTTAATTACAAGACGAGTGATAGTAATTATGTAAAATAAGAAATAATAATTATTTTTGCCATAATTATGTTCAATAATAATAATGATTATTATTATTATTATTAAGCAGACAATTAATAAAATAAATCAAAGATGAATAATTATGACAGTGAAAAATGATTAGCTATCATTAAAATTACTTAACTATTAATTATGTAGTTATATTAATACTTGGGAGGAGTGGCTGCAGTTACGATACATTATTCAAAGTCTTCTTTGATCTTCTGGAAGATTCCGTCAGGTTATTTTTAACCCTGTTACTATTAATAGGTTGATTAATCAGTGCCTGCTTCTCACTCTTCCCTCCTCCTCCTCCTTTCTTCTTTGATTCAAACAATATCCTCTTCCTCTGTCTCAGTCTCACTCACTATC